ACCTCTGTACTTTGCAGTAATGTTTGTGCGATATCTACCGATATAGAAGTACTGTGTAATAACCTTTGTTCTCGTGCTAAAAATAAAATGNTCTGCAACATGTAGGGGGAGGGCGGGGAGTGGGGGGGCGTTCAGGCATGAAGTTAACCCCAACCTCTGTACTTTGCAGTAATGTTTGTGCGATATCTACCGATATAGAAGTACTGTGTAATAACCTTTGTTCTCGTGCTAAAAATAAAATGACATGACCCAGCTTGTCACCAATCGTGTATACCATTCGCGAGCAGGCTCATGATCCCGTGATATGCCTACGAAATACCTACGCCAACACTCACCATGATCCCGAAGGTCTGCTCGATGCTATGCGCCCTTGCGACTGGAAAAAGTTGAAGGCGTCTTGGTCTGCGTTGAGGTCGCATCCTGGGTGCGGTACAAGCATCTTGTCTGTTGCCCCGTAAGCCGAATCTCCCACGACATAGTCGCCTGCAAGACCCTCGACAAGCTGGTCGAACTCAACCTCCTTGTATGCCTGCCGATCGTTGGTGCTTCCCGGGGTGTTGCAGCAGGCAGCAGTGACGATGTAATCCGCGTCGCAGATCACCTGAGTCGGGAAACAGGTGGTGCATTCTGTAAGCGCGTGTGCACTTCAGCTGGTTCATGAACAGCAGTCCAAGGGTTCATCGTGCGCCCCTTCCCACAGAAAAGAGGGAGAGACCTTTTTTTTTACATGTTCGTCGATGTCCATCGTACAGAACGCGCCCGCAAGTAAGAAAAAATTTAGGTATGAAAATCAAGCTCAGATTTTGGCGAAACATGAGAAATTCCGGCTAAGAAACACAGCTCAATCTTGGGAAAGAAGTAAGAAACACCCGAATAAGAAACTGAGGGCAGGATCACTCCAAACCACAAGAAACGAAGTGCAGTAGAGAGAGCGTGAAAAATAAGAAACGGCTGTTGACGTCCAGTGACAATCCCTATTACCCCTTGTGGGTGTAATTTGTTGGTGTGTGGGTATGGGTCGCTGTCTTTTATGAGAACCCCCCCCGTGCCGCGCGGTCCGCACGTGGTGCGTGGTGGCCAAGTGTGGCCTGATTTCACAGTTCTGATGAAGACAGACAGATGCGGGCGTTGGTGCGTGGGTGCTGGAGGTAGAGCAGGAGGAGGCAAGGATCAGGGCGTCTAGGAGGCGACAACCCCGAATGTTCGCCGCACGGAGCTTTCGGCGTAATGTCGGAAAGTCTGTTGGGTCCCTCTCTTTCAACTACTTCGTGTGGTTTGTCTTTTGGAGAATGCCACTACTGTTGTACGGCACAGTGAAAGCCACATCAGTTCGTTTTCTATTGCGCGATTGATTGTCGTCGAGGTGTGTGCCTGGGTCATGGCGAGAATTACTGTGTGGGAGACGGTGGCAAGGTCTTGATTTCAAGCAAAGGACAATCAAATGCAGCGAGACGCAAGAACCACGGCAGCTTCCCGCGCAAGACACGGAGACGGGTGACGGCTTCAACGTCGGCGGCACAAACTGTACATTATACAAGAAACAAGCAAATCCTGCAAGCAAATCCTGCAAGGCCAAAAAATTAGAAACGGCGAAAAGATTTCAGCAACAAAGGCTGGCAGGTCGGTCGAAAATAAGAAATTGAGCCTCAACCCATATGTTACGTTCTTACTTGCGGGCGCGTTCTGTACTCTGTCTCCACGGAAGTGTGTGATGGCAAGGGCGGGTGTCATGGCGTGATTGTGTTCCCCAACGGTGTACTGCAGCGGGTTAAGGACAGGGGATTATTTTACACATTTTGATGCACCCAAACAACACAACCCAAACAGCAGTACGGCCGTTATTTGTTGTTTCTACAACAAGTAGTCTGCTGTTGACCGGCGTACACAGAGAGAGTCAGTCTACTGGTAGGTTCGAATAATGTAGTTTTCGCACCTGGTAGTTCATGCCCACTGCTGTCATCTTGTGCCCTGAAAAGAACCGATCTGGACAAGGGTGTTCGGTGATGCTAGGCTTCTTGCGTCGTACAAGGAGTCCATCCAATGCTCCCACACAGCGCTTCAGGACAGGGTCAAGTTGGGAACTTCGAGCAGCAAACCCCTGCGCCTTCGCTTGATGCCGCCGCTCCGTTCTCGGCCACTTTATCCGAAGCCTCCCACAGTCGTTGATGGCGTCCAGCCCTTCCTTGATCTTCGCAAATGCTGTGATCGTGGCCATGTGGGGACCATCAGCCGCAGCGCTGACGCCGTGCCCTGCGAGCCACCGCAACGTGCTAGCCAGCGCCCACTCCCCAGCTATGGTGCCGTTGTGGCCACGCCCTTCGGGGCCATGGCCGGCTCCTTCTCACGCATGCTCCACGCCGGGTGTGGACGACTTGGAACGCACAGGCCAACGCGGTCGTCGCGGCGAGGCACCAGAGAGCAGCTGCTGTAACGATTCGCACCCGTGTGTTGCGGCGAGCGACGACGGTACGGCGTGCACCCGCTCCAGTGCGAGGCCGAACCACCGTCATCGGGAGTAGTGGCCCTGCGTCTCGTCGTGTGCCTGGTACCTTGTGTAGCGGGCGGCAGCACTAGCTTCCATCCGTGAACGACCGCAATATGTGTGCCCGCGGTCTGTTCGATATATTTCGCCGCGATTCCTTTGGTTTTTTCTCAGCGGCGGCGTATTTGGGTAGACCCAAACTACAACATCAAAAATACAAATCCGATTCATTTTCGATTTTTGATTCTGCACTTTTTTTGGCAAGACCCAACCTCAGCAACCGCCGAAATTTCAAAGAATATTCCTTTCCATTCAACGAAATTCAACCATTTTGTCGACGCGTGCTGCCCTCGACTGACATAACCCTCTCGGCTGGGTGGAGTAGGGGAGGCCGTGATTGAAATAAAATAAAGAGGGGAGCGGAGGGTGATCACGCCCTGGTTCGAGGCCCATACATTCGCCTTCACACGATCGAGTCCACGTCCGTCCGCCTCCCGCCCCTGCCAACTCTGGAGAGTGTAGCAGTGGGTTCTTCCACGAAACATCAGGTTTGCCGATAGGGACACAGGGACGATTGACTGGATGGCCTCCTCGACGGACCAAGTGGGGAGGTCCTTCCTAGGAGGGGTGGCCGTTGTGGAAGATGGTGCAGCTGAAGAAAGAACGTGAGTTCTCGTGTGGAAGCTCATCCGTACCTCCTCATGTACACAGCAACAGTACTCAGACATGTATGCACGCGTAATAGTCTACATGTAGCGTTGCAGTGTACCGCTGCCGCTGCATGCATGCCTTTGTACCTGGTGCCTCCTGCCGCTGTGGACTGTAGTCTGCACCGATTTCGCAGCAGCGGAAGGCATAGACAGCACAGCTGTCTCTCGTGAATCCTCGCATTTAATTCCCCGTTGCGTGCCTGCAGACCTTGCAGCGCACGCACCGCAGCACGTACCAGCATGCGCCACGAGGAGAAACTCAAACCAATCTTCAACACCCCCGCACCCTATTGTATGCGATCATGCCATTGTTTGTGGTTTGTTCGATTTGAGAGAAGAGAGCCGATGCGAAAGAAACGCAAACCAGCGAGTGCCGCGCCGGTGGCTGCCAAAGAGGGAAGCCCGCGTTCTGACGATGTCGGCGGCAATGGTTCGGACGACCAGGGAAACGATTTAGAGTATGAGTACAACTCTGATTCGCATTCGGAATGGGAGGGCGCGCGGGAATGGACGAAGGTGATTATTTGTTGTGTGTTAAGATTGTTGCGTGTTGTTGTCATACCCGTTTGTTCTGGCGCCAGTGGTTGAGCGCTTGCATCTGCTCGTCACAACCACGTAAGCGTGGTGTACTGCTGCTGGTGGTATGGTGGTTGTGACGGCTCAGAAGCGGTCCTCTCTCGGACCCCATCAATACCCACGCAGTCTTCTGTAGGAAAGAAGAGGGTCGGATTGTGTTGTGTCCAGCCCTGGAGCTGTCAAGTGTCAACGCTACCAAATAGTTTTATCTCTGGCATCCAAGCAGGAGGTACGCGGGATGTCACGTTGGGAAAGCGTAACATGTCTGCAAACCCTTCAATATCGACCACCAAAAATAGAATGCCCCAACAACGCTGTTGATGAGTGCATCCAGATGCACATCCCAATCTGACGTCGTACTGCTTTCATGAAAGCCTCCCGCACGCCGCAAGGGCATTTGTTTCACCTCTGCGCTGCTGCGAAGTTGCTTCTCGACAACGGCATGATACCCCAAACGCGCTACCCCCTCGAACCCATGTTGCGCCTGCACCACCCCGCATGCTTTCGCGCAGCATCACGCGCAAGCTGATGCGGACGAGTTTATCGACGGCGTGGACGGTATTACCGCGAGGGTCCAGTTATCCTCGGCCCTGACAAATCTCTGGGTATATATCGATCCTAGGAGGCTTTCCGAGGGCCGTGCTCCTGGCACTCGTGTCGAGACTGTCGGCCTGGATCCCAGGAAAGGAGTGGTGGTAAGTAGAATGCGAGCGATGATTCGTATCCCTTTTACACTGCATCGGTTTCTCCAGCGCAACGTTTTTCGAGGGACAGGGCGACGGTTTCTGGTCTCAGCGCGAAGACTACGCTGAACTAATTTTCGTTACCGAAATGGCCAGTTTCGTTTCGGTACCGGGGCCATCGAGGGGTAGTGGCTTGGCCTCACACGTGCTGTAGAATCGTCAAGGGAGAAGCAGGACATCATATTCCGATGTGCTGCTGAGGAAATCGTTCATTCCGTTCGCGTCCCGGCCATGCAGGTGATGCTCACCACCGACCATGACTACACGTCGTCAAGCAAGTGCCCGAAAGTGTTGTGGGCCAGGCAGGTGGCACGGACGGCGATGGACATGTCGAAAATGGACACCTACGGAAGGTGGGGGCTACACCGTCTAAACGGCTTAAATTAGGACTGGTAATTGGCCTTTCTGTTGGTCTTTGTGGTGTAAGGTTGTGTCTCCCACATCACGAACTACGCTCCAAGTCAGCCTATCTGTATATTCGTAAGGGAGCTCTGCCGGGGGTGTCGGCCCTGTGTGAAACCTCGTGCGAGGACATACCAGATGAGTCACAGAGTTCGTTTTCTGTCTACGACTGCCAATACAGAAGCCCACCCGCCCTCGAACCCTAATGCATTCTCCTTCACAAATGGTATTAAGAAACACTCCAGGACCCTGAATCCCGTGGCTCGCCCAGAAAGCTGGAGTTTTTTCGACACCAAGTCCAACAAAGACAATAAATAGGGACAGTTGAAAACTCGACGTGCTACGTATTCTGGAACGGGTCGTGTATCATCCAACAACCATATCTGCAACGACGACGATGACCACAACAACCACCACAAACCCAATCGTTGACACCGACGACCCACCGACAGCATCGGGGAGACATTCCCGCACGAGTGGATGCTCTGCGGAAAGATACAGGTCGAGCTGACGCGAGCTTGGTCCCAAGGCATGGGGCCATCACGCACGACCGACGAACACGTCAAGGGAGGACATCAATCCGAGCAAGGGATGGGCGGCGATGTCTGCCACGACGGCGGATCTCCCGTTCGAGAGGGTAGGGTAGCGGCGGCGACGGGGGCCGGAGAGGGGACGGCGAAGAATACGACGGACGGGGGAAAGCTTCACAGCGCAGCAACACGGCGGGCGGTCAAGATGATTTGCGAGTCCATGGTGGTGTCGGCCGGTTTTGCTGCCTACGTTCTGCGGATCTCTAAGGTACCTTGGGAAGGGCGGTATGGTGTGGTGCTACGAGATGATGGGAGTATCAGTGGTTTATGGACGAGGTTGCGTTACGTAGTTCATGACACCTAAGTGCCACCCGGGGTGTGGACAAATTTGTTTCGACAAGGTTTTACGTGAGCGCGGTAATTTAACCGTACAACCTTGCAACAAGGACTTCCCGAGGTCTCCCACCCCCGATACGCACCCCTGTTTCAGTACGACGAGCAAAAGGCACAGCTGAACCTTCTCGAGGAGGAACAGCGATCGTCCCTAAAGGCAGCATTCGCGGAATTCACAGCGCTGAAGAGGAGGTTTCCACAGGTTGACGAGGCGAGTCTCGGCTGTGAATGTGTTCAACGACAGCATTGCCACGAAGTCCGTGGAAATACTTCGGCGGGGTTTCGAAGCTTCTTACTGTTGATCTGAATTTGATCCCGAACAATCCTTTGGAGAAAAGCGGTTTTCTTGGTGCCTACGTTGCACAGTTGACCACGATGCCAATCAAGTTTGACGACAGAGTTTGCGAGGTCATGAGGACAGGACACAAGAAAAGGCTTGCCAAATGCCAGCGTCAATATCACGCTTGCTTTGCGATATTTTCAGGTGTCCGCCCGTAGGATTCGCGGTGCTTGCTTTGGCAGTGATTGCGCTAAGGGTTTTATCTCGCCGGTGCTGTGTGACGAACATTACGAACTGCTCTGGTGTATTCGGGGTCGGCACAGCATATATTTGAATGGCAACGGTTATGTTCGGGCCGCGATGGCTTTGAATCGCGGTCCAGTTAGTTGCGCTCCCTCGCAGGGGGGAGTGAACATCCAACCGAAGGCATGACAGGTCTAAACAACTCACGCGGAAACGCCGTTTCGCTCCATCCAACGGTAACCCCAACTGTCCCCTCTTCATAGGCGTGTTGTTTTGACGCCGTTGCGGAACATCCCGGATCCATCCAGCTGCAAAATGACTCCGTGGTGCGCGTGGCACTGGGAGGGCCTCTGTTGGACCCGCTGCCTCAGTCGAAGGGGGAGACCGGGGATGGCCACGGTCTGTTAGACCAGTATCGTAGGGCTGAACTGAAGGAGCTCGCCGAGACTAACCCATTGGTAAGTTGTTGTTGTTGTTGTTGTTGTTGTTGTTGTTGTTGTTGTTGTTGTTGTCGTCATCGTTGTCGTTGTCGTTGTCGTTGTCGTTGCAGCTTTTTCGTTGGCGGCAACGAGTACGTCGATGCCGATTCCCCCTTCGGGGGGGCGTTGCGGGCCCTTCTCAACCCTGCACGATATGAAACGGGCGCGCTGTATCAGGCCTCGACCGCCAGGTTCGTGCTATTGTTCCCTGAGTGCTGAACGCCACCCTATTGCCTTGTGCTCCCATTCACCCCCTCTCGTCCCGGCTTGTTTGATGCCAAGGTTCGCGTTGCGCTGACCGTGATCGAAAGACTGAAGAACGTCACCGAGATCTGCCTGGTTTGTGGCGACCAGATACAGGGGCACACCGTGTCGATGCCGACCGTGTGCCACCAGGTGGCGCTTATGTATGGGGCACGAATTTGGTCATCGCGAAGAGGGTCAGAACCGTGCATCGAATCGCAATACAGGATATGGGGAAAGTTTTGCACAGCTGTGCCAAGGAGGCCCATGCTCCTTTGAACCCTACACGCACACAATTGGGGTGCAATGCTTCCCTCATCCGGTTTCCCATATGTCTGTCTGTCCGCCTGTCGGCCTGCTCGTATGTGTCTCTCTCGCGTCCCCTGCCCTTCGTCCAATAACTATTAACGCAGCCCTTGTGCACATCGACCTCGAGCGTGTTGGAGCGCCGGAAGCGCTGGAAGTTCGAGTTTGCTCGCTTGCCCACGATGCCTCCGGCGAGGCAGCGCGTGCAAAAGAAGGTATCAACGCTTGCTGGTGTGCGCGTGGCTACCTGCCCCACACCTGTCCTTTCGAACGTCTCTTAGACTAGAACTTGTCCCGAGTCATCCAGATTTGATCGCCGCATATGTGGAGGGACCTCTCGGAGTGTCGCTCCTATCGATCCGCACATTTGGTTCGGTGTTGACACCGCTTTCCCGCGTTCTGCGGAATTTCCCCACTGCAGAAACCTGGAATGCTTGCCTTGTTTTTGCTCGTTCGGGGTTGAAGGCGAGATGCACTGGGGTGAGATGCAAAGTGGTGGCGAAGATGCCCCTCGCATGTGTAGCGTGTTGCTGCAATACACCCGCGATGGTACCCGGGCGTGCTCGTTGTAATGCCATTTCCATCCCGTCCCGTTGACTACTTGCCATCGCTTTCGTGCTTGCGGTTGCAGTTCTTGCCTTGGGTGCCGCCCTCACATTCATACTGTGGCGCGTCCCTGTGTTCCAACTTCTCTCAACAGCAACAGCGTTTCGAGACGCAGCCGGACATCGTCCTTGTTAGTCCTGCGGGAGGTGTAGAAGGACAGGTGAGAGAAAACATTGGATGGGCACCTCTGTACATTGCAAGGGTTTCCGAATCGAAGATAAATTCCCCTTTTGTTTCTTTGCGCTTGTTGTGACGGAAGGCAGTTCTACCTCACTGCTTGGATGGAAGTATAATGTCGTTGTCCGCATAGACCAGGGCAATTCTCCATGGTACTGTAAGGAGACGAAGACTAAGGTGAAGACTCATGGCCCAGTACCACCACTAAAAACATTAGGAAAAGGCGCACACGCTTCCCGAGTAATAACAGGTGCTCAACAACGGCGAGGTGGTGGAACTGTTGATCGACCTCTTCCGTAGAGCCTTGGAGGGCACCCGGCCCGAGCTAGGCTTTCCGGACGCGGTGAGGAAGGAGATTAGCTGTTTTGGTATTTTTGTTGTCGTTGTTGCTGTTTGCTGTTGTTGTGGCTGTCATCGTCCTGTTGTCGGTGCTGTTATTGGCGTCTCCGACTTGTGCTTAAGAAATAAGGGAACCATCGGTGGGAATACCTGATATTTTCTGGTACCAGCGAGAGCTGTCAGCGAAGAGGGGGAAGGTAGTCTCCGCGGCATACCCGCCCCACAAAAGGACAAAACTACGTGGCAAGGGAATTGGAGATTCGTCTTGCAAGGGGTGAAGGTCAAGACTTTCATGGGTACGGAACGATGTATTTTTGATCGACAGGTTGGGGAGATAACGTAGAACTACATTCCAGACGGGAGGACGTCGACGATCAAATCCAGCGACAGGTTCACACGAGTGCCGTCCTTTGCCACGACCGGAGTTTGGGACTGATTCGTGGTTCATGAGTTGTGCTGTGGTCGATAACATCAACGCTGGACAAATTTGGAACCCCGTAGTTGTTCGTGTTTCGGGTCATGGAAATCGTCAATATGCCCTCGCCGCCACGTGTCATGTGTGGATGCGTAGGTGTTCGGACTTCAGGGGCCCGGTCGCAAAAGGGACAAGAGCGTCATCGAAAAAGTGAGGATCTAGCTTTTCATCCACATGCGGAGAGGTCCTAAAAAATCGAGGCAGCTACGCATTTACGTTTCGAATATTTCGTCACTCACACTGGATTGATGAAAGAAGCCTTCGAAAACGCACCTCCAAAGAATTGAGTCGATATTTTCGCGCATGCCGAAACGTCGGAGTGAGAGGATGTTAGCACGTGGGCGTATCTAGCCTGACTCGTCATCACTGACCCCACCTTTCGATGGCCCACACGAGTGGTGTAGGTGGTCATGCATGTGAGTGTAGACCCGTCGAAGGATCTAACGAGGGCCCGCAACGATTGACCGATGGATCGCAGAACACCAATACATTTCGCACGTCCACGGACTACAGCAGCGTGTTTAGAGTCCTGCAGAGGCGACAGGCGACGTCAATCGTCCCCGTTTTTGTTTTGTTTGAAAAGCTTCAACACAACGGCGCAACACTCCTATCCCTCCCCCTCTCCATACACCTTCCTCCCGCCGATGGCAAAAGCACGCACCATTTTCAAAACAACCATCGTGATCACACCTGCCTGAAAATACACAAAACACCCAGGTGCGCCTGGTGCTGAACGCGCTGCCGTCTGTGGCAGACATGCAACGGTGCATCAGGCGGGAGGGAAGCCTTGGCAACGAGGCGAAACCGAAAGCCAGCGTCGGAGAGCTTCATTCGCCGCCACCTCTTGTTTCGCAAGTGCGTGGTGGTAGTGGTGGTGGAGTTTGGGGCTCTGCTGCCTCTGTCTCTGCTGCTGCTGCTGCTGCTGCTGCTGCTGCTGCTGCTGTTCAAGTTGTTGCTGGTGTCGGGGCTCGGTTTGGAGTTTCGGAGGCTGTTGCTGGTGTCGGTGATGGCGGGGGGGATGACGAGGGCGGCGACGCGGGGACCAGGGAACCCCCTAACGGAGAGGATTCACCGCTGAATGAGGCCTTCTCGAAGATCAACCCGCTGGCTGCTGCCTTTGCCTCTGCTGGTGCTGATGCTCGTGCTGATCGTCGTCATGAGGCTCGGTTTCGACCTACGGGGGCTGTCGCTGGTGTCGATGTTGGCAAAGGAGGTGGCGAGGGCGGCAAAGGGGGGGAAAGGAAATCCCCTACCGGAGAGGTTTCACCCCTGAAGGAGGCGTTGTCGAAAATCAACCCGCTGTCGTACCCCCTGCTGGAGTGGCTGCTGTCGACGTGAGTGATTGACACTGGAGGTGTTGTTGCTGGAGGAAAGGGGCGGCCTTGCTTGCTTGCAGCGGTATGTTTTGCCACGAAAGGGTTGTCGAATCGTCGTGTCTCGTTTCGTCGCTGCTACTTTTTTTTTTTCTGTTCGTAACTTTTTGTTTTGTTATTGTCCGCTGCAGTCTCTTGAGCAAAATGACACTATGATATGTTCTCGCTTGAATACATGGGCTTCCCGCTTGGTTCTGGAAGTACTTCGCTCTCCTCAAAATTGTGCGCGTTCTTTCGTTCCTTTTCACAGGGCTCATGGAGGGGAGCTGCATCTGTTGAAGGAAGCTGAAGCTATCCAAGGGATTTCATGCAAGAAGCAGTTCGTGCTCACAGGTGAAAAGCTCAACCCCCCTATGCATAACAACGCCGCGCTTTCTTGCTGCGTACAGTAGATTGAACCCTTCGCTGAGTGCCACAAGAGGTTCAGGGTGACGCATATTCAGCACGTGGTGCTGCCCTTCATACATTTCTGCTTGTAGCTTTCCACCCAGGTCTTGCAGAATATCTTAGCTGACTCCACCTATCTGTCTGCCCTACACCTTTTCTGGACATTTCTCCAGACTTTTCCTCACAACCCACCACAAAACGAGTCGCAGCAGGCAGAATTTCCAACCACGGTTTGTTGTGATCACCCTCGCGAGGACCGACTCCTCCTGTCTCTTGCTCGTCAGGGAATGGTTTGTTCGGGGAAATCGGTGTTGTGTACCGGATTTGTTGAGGTGATTCGTTGGCCAACCGAATGCTGAATGGATAGAACAATTCTCCACTTCTGTTGCCTGTTGTTCTTTGTGACCTCTGATTTACCTGTCATCTGTCATGTAATTAGGACACTGAGCGACACGAGGCTGACATGATACTTGTGTATGCATGGATGCGCTCTGTATTAGTGTTTTTGCTGTCAACGTGCTTTCCTGCGTGTTGCAAATGTATTTCTGCCGTTTTGGGTTTGTTCTGGTTGCGGTGCAACACTTGTCAAGACACCTCAGAGCGAGAGGAGCGTTTTCAGGCGATGAAGCGGGAGGCCGCGGCTTCGTTGAACGGAACAGGATCATTTTTCGCCTTCCACGGCAGCGCTCCGGGCAACTGGCACGGAATCCTTCGCTTGGGCATCAAGAACATGTCCGGTACGTGTTGCATCGGCCACAGTTTCGCAGAGGACGGTGATCACGGACGTATGCTATCGGTTACGGTTCATCCTGGTCCGATATGCGAGGGTGTTATCCGTTTCTCCTATTCGTGAGAGAAGCGTTGTTCTCTGTCGCGAAGGAGTACGGTATTGAGACTGCATGCGTGTTTCAATACTGAGCTACGGATATCCTGTCGTTGGATTACGAATTTGTTGGGTAGACCCATGAAAAACGATCCCTAACAACGGCAACCGCAATAAGAACGATGGTATTTAGCACGAACCAAGGAGGTCACAGCAGCAACGGCAACACAACCAATCCAACTTAGTTGTGTCGAATCCCCGTCCATGAGGTTCCCCAGAGAATATGGTCTCGAAGACATCGGGAAATGGTAACCTTTGTCGTGTGAGGTTTTCTCACGCAAAGTATCATTAAACGTGGCATCGTCTTGCATGGCGCGGGAGTTTCGTAACGTAAGCCCTTGATACAGAGAGAGAAGTTGGGCGAGATGGACAGGACCTATTTCGGCACGTTTTGGCAAGAGGCTTGTGTTTTTTTTTCTGTCTACGGGCTCCGACCTCTTTCGTTGTTTCTTCCACCCGTCTACAGTGCCAATCAGCTCGTACAAAGCACTGTTGTGAGCACGGTTGGAAGTCCTTCTGCAACAGCTATATAGGGTGTACGTCGTTATTTCACCTGCCATTGTGTTCATGGTATTTTACACCTATTTTCTTCCTATTGTCTCCAGGCCAGAATTTCACTCCCGTTGTTTCTGCTTGTCCACTACATGAGCGTGAGCACGAACGCTATTGCCGCCCCCACCACCCTCACCCGGTTGCGCATGCATATCACCAGCTGCGTTAGTGGTGTGTTCGCTACTTTGTATCAGCATTAGAATTTCGCACGCGCTACATGCAATCATGAATCATGATTTTGTACCAGCGGGCAGAAGACATCCCCTGATACGTGCCGAGAGGACGTGCCCCCCGGACGCACGATTTCCCATGTTTCTACCCCATCGTAACCCCATCGTCAACGACAGGCTCGGAGTACATGTCGAACGGGGCCACTAGCGGCCACGGCATCTACATGGGTGGAAGCCTTGCTGTGTCGCTTTCGTACACGAGGGATACCACTTTGGCTCGAGCTGCGATGAGGCTGAGGGCGGCCGAGCAGAGGGCGACCAGGCTGAGGGCAACCCCTTTTCCAGCGTCGACGGCGATCGTGCCGACGCCAGCGGTCGTGGCCGGTGCTGCTTCTGCTGCTGCAACTTCTGCTAGCGGTACAGACCCCGCATTTACACCTACCGCTGACATTCCTGCCAACGCTTGCGCTTGTGGCATCAACCCTTGCGCTGTCGCTACTTCTGCTGCTGCTGCTGCCGCTACTGCCGCTGCTCGTCTTCATGCTTGCGCTCGTGATGCTACTGGGGCCTGTGGTTCCAGTACAGCTGCTGATGCTACCAATACTACTCCTGCTGCCACTGCCTTTGGTGGAAGCCTTTCGACGCAAGGCGTTGCATTTTGCGGTAGCGGTGGGTACGGAAACTGGATGAACCCAGCCGCCGTCAACAGACCGACCCAGGCAGCAAGGGCCAGTAGTAGTTCCAATACGGCTGTCAATGGTACGAGTGTTGCTCCTGCTGCCACGGCCTCTGTTGGAAGCCTTTCGACGCAAGTCATTGCATTTCGTGGTCGTAGCAGGTACGGAAACTGGATGAACCAATCCGCCGTCAACAGACCGACCCAGGCTGCCAGTGCCAGTGGTTCCAATGCGGCTGCCAGTGCTGCCGGTGTTGCTCCTGCCGTCACTGCCTTTGGTGGAAGTCTTTCAACTCAAGGCGTTGCATTTCGTGGGCGCGGCAGGCACGGAAACTGGATGAACCAATCCGCCGTCAAGAGACCGACCCAGGCTGCAAGTGCCAGTGGTTCCAATACGGCTACCAATGCCCCCAGTGCTGCTCCTGCTGCCACTGACTTTGGTGGAAGCCTTTCGACGCAAGGCGTTGCAATTCTCCCTGGCGGCGGGCACGGGCACGGGGTGAACCACTCCAGGGTCAACCGACCAGCCGCGAGTGCCCCCAGTGCTGCTCCTGCTACCACGGCCGGGGTGAACCAAGCCGCCGTCAACAGACCCACTCAGGCAACAATCGTCAGTGGTTCCAGTACGGCTGCCAATGCTACGAGTGTTGCCACCGCTGCCTTAGTTGGAAGCCTTCCGACGCAAGGCGTTGAATTTCGTGGTGGCGGCGGGCACGGGAATAGGGTGGACCCACCCGCCGTCAACAGACCGACCCAGACTGCCAGTGCCCGTGGTTCCAATGCGGCTGTCAATTCTACCGGTGTTGCTCCTGCTGCCACTGCCTTTCTTGGAAGCCATTCGACGCAGGGCGTTACATTTCGTGGTGCCGGCGGGCACCGGAACAGGGTGGACCCACCCGCCGTCAACTTGCCGCAAGCACCTGCAATCGTTGCTATCTGCGAAGTCATCGACAGGTATGGCATTGGTTGATCCGTACAAGGACTTATAATGGCATGCTCGAACACCATACCAATTGGGCAACCGGACTGCTCTGATCGGTCGACAGCTGATCAAGTGGGTACCCGAGTGAAATAAGAGTTGCAAAGTGTGGGCATGGAAAGAAGCGTATGTGGCGCTTGCCCTCTCCTTCCCCCAAGAACCAACGGTATTGCGCACGTCGTGATGAGCACTTCCCCTCGGTCCATTCACGAACACGTTACGAACAACGCTCCTTTGAACGCTGAGCTTCCATGCTTGAGGTTCGGACATCCCGCGTGATTCCGGTCCCCGTGGCCGTTTTTGTCGACCAATCTCGTGTGTATTACACTGGTATGCTGTAGATTCCCCTATTCATTCGTGATATTAGTATCTGCCCCTTCGTCTCGCCGGTTGTTTCATTACCAAACGCAGACCGGGATGTAACAAGCGAAACAGGTGCTTGGTCATTCCGGACGAGAGCTGCGTGGCAACGAGGTACGCTCCATCCACTCGTCTTACGCTACCCCGCCCCCCACCTTCGAGATCGTGGTATAATGTCACTCTCACTCCCGAACAAGTCTTGATGACGTCGAGAACTAATGTCGAATCTAAAACGTGCTTCTTAGAGTCCGACGAGTACCTAATCATGTACGGTCAGGAGGTCGTGCATACAGAGATGCCCCGCACACTAATACCTCGCAGCCTTCTCGTCGAGTAACAAATTCTCGTCGAGTGACAACATGGCCCCTCGCCTTTTGTTTGCCTACGGTCATCATGCTTGCACGACAACAAGGTTCCTCCTGATCGACCCCCGCAGGCCAAGTCTCCGCGTGGTCGATGGTGACTTGGCGGCCGCCGCGGCAACACGGTACGCCAGCATTCACCCCGCCCTGTAGCGTCATCACCAACGAATGACATCAGTGATCCCGGCCATGAGGGTCGGGGTTGGTACCGGTGTCCATGCGGCACTGTCGGCGGGCAGTGGCGGCGGTGGGCCACAGGGTAGCCAGTAGTAACGTACGTCGCGTAATAATGCAGGTGTGGAGATAATGAGGGACTGTTGCGAGGTAGCGGTGCGCGGCGTTCGGCGTAACGCATGTTGGCCAACGTTCCTCGACTTCCATCATCCAAGGAAACCACGATCCTTGGAATGTGATTGTTGTGTTTTTTCGTCGATCGGCCTGGCCGGTCGATCAGGTGTGGTTGCCTCCCCCCTCATGCAGAATTTTTTTCCTCGATGTTCCATTTGTCGAAGTTGAAGGCCGCATTATTATTGCTCGGGGGCCATTATGAGCAAACGGCTACTGCTGTCGCCGCCGCTGCCGCCGCTGCCGCCGCTACCGCGGCTGCTGCTGCTGCGGCGGTCGTCCTCGCCGCCGCCCACATCGGCAGTGCCGGTCGACGTGGTAGATGGGGCGACGCTCGCGCTCTCCCTGCTCGAGGGGGCGCCATCGCCAGCGCCGCCCGCGCCCGACTCCTGGGGCGCGGCCGGCGGTGCCGCCGGCGCTGCGCGCGCGGGCGGCCCCGCGGGCCCTGGGGCTGCCGTCGTGCCAAGGTTGAAACCTGGTCCTCCATCCACAGGTTCTCTCTCCGCCCTCCCTCCACCTTGGTTCGACGCGCCCTCCCCAACCTCGTCCTCCTCAGCCGCGAATTCCTCTTCCTCCTCTGCGATGGGAGGCAGCGACTGGGGCAGGGCGGCGGGGGCGGCGGGCACGGATTGCCAGGTGAAGTTGCGAGTTGTGATCGCTCGGCGTTTTTCGTTGAGGATGCGCACGCAATCACGGCAGGGGTTGATTCCCGGGCCGAGGTAAAAACACTTTTGGGCTTTTGGCTCGGACTTATGTGTGCGCTTGACCTTGTACTTCAAGTATACGGCAGGTTTGAGGAACAGGTACGTCGCCCCCGGCGGGGGAGGGTGCCCGTGCCACATCTCGTACGGCGACTTCTTCTCTGGGTTGGATGTGGTGGAGGTGCAGTTCAGGGCGTTGCATGACCAAGCTATGGCCTCGGCCCAAAGGGATGGGTAGTTCGGTGCTCCGGGGTAAAGAGTTGGCGCTTGGATACGGGCGGCTAGTGCTGCATCCTTGATCAGACCCAGTGCTCTCTCAGCTACA